TTTCTCTATTCTTATAAGCTTTAGAGCAAAAATCCCTAACTCTCCAATCATTTCCAAAATGCCTGATTTTCACTTCGACGGACGGTATTAGTCTAAACTGGCTATAGCAACTCGTGCCTATGCACACATCAACTTTCTTGATAGTGTTGAAGTACTTCAAAATTTTTCTGAGGTAGTTCATTCTTCTCCGTTTAGGATCATTCGCCCTCAAACACACAATATAACTTATCTCTTCTTTCGCACATCTCAATCCCCCAAATTTTACTAACTCCCAAATTTTTCGGAAAATTTCGGCAGAGTCTCCCTTGTAATTGGGCCTAACCACCTGCCAGAGTAACACCAAAATAACTCCTACAACACATCCGCAACCCAACAAAACACCTCAAGGTATATATCAATAATACTAATCTCAGCATTGCATTATCATAATGATATCAGGATATGAAGCACATCATATGTATGCTCATCACCACATCTCTGGTCTTAAAAGCTATTCATAATTAATTCCTGCATCATCAATTAATCTCATATTAACCACCACCTCATTTCGAATTTTCACAACACTGATAATAGAACGCGATGCATAAGACCTCATGATTACTTACTCGGATTAATGAGTCACATTTAACGCCACCTGGGCACTCACCTCATATGCTAAAACTCAACGTTTACAACACGAAAATGGCTGAATATGAACAAAAAAAAATATACAAGAATTATCAAATAAGCCTAACAGGCATGACTCCCTATTAATATTATTGTACAAATTAAATTTTACAAAGGAAGAATTTTAAACTCATAAATATTTCACCACAAGGACCTCGTCCTTATATAACTTCCACCGCGACTTGTAGCCCGGTCTAAATATTTCACATCATATATAAAATACGAGGATCTCGTCCTCAACTCTGAATCACAAGTATTTTGCACATTGCCAACTGAAATTTCAATTTTTTTTCTTCCTACTTTTCAATATATTTCATAAACAGTTTTCACAATACATAATTAACTCTCATACCGGTATGGCGTAATATTCATAAAAATTGGAATCAATTATTCGGAAACACATTAAACCCACTGTAATGAATAATAAAAATTACTTTTGGACTTATAGCCCTCAATGGTGTACAAAAATAAATTACAGACACGAGCTCACACCTTCAAATCCCCCAACAGGGATAAACATATAAGTGGATCACAAATTTATGAAGCTCACCCATAAGTGGAGCATGATAAGAGGACTCACCTCAATATTCAGAACCGAATCAAATTAAGGAAAATATCCTTTTATAATAAAAATCAAGATCGTACATGTAATGACACCATCTAGTGTATTGGCCTCAGCCAAATCATAGTGATTAAATCAATGGGTCGGGTCTCCACCTCTTAGGTGCCCACTACCCGCCTGTCCTCCACCTCTAGCTGACTGTGCACGTGGAGTATTAAGTGGAATAAATCTTGTAGCCTAATTATTCTGATGAAATCCGTCTCTTCCAAGTCTGGGACATTCCTCTTGATGTGTCTAGTACAATCACACTGATAACAACCCCTCTACGGGTTTGGCTGCTCATACTGAGTCTTTGTCGGATAACTGGAATAACCATTATAGGAACCCTGTGCCGGTGGTGTATTAAAAGAACTTACTGTAACACCCCGAGTATTTTGAAATTGTTTTTGTGACCTCGCTGGTACTGAAATGTAGAATTATTAAGAAAGCGGGAGTACCGCAAGTCCCAGCATCATCCCATACCAATCTCAGCTCTTAATCATATATAATTTTCGGAGAACCTTTCAATACCACATAAATACATCTCAGGCCAAAACTGATATAACACATGACCCCCACAATCTGATCGTTGATAGTGGACTCCCCTCACTTGGCATGAAGACATAGGGCACATTATGATGATCCAAAATACTAACCTTCATCGCTCATAAGACTCCGGTCATAAGACATCTCAAACCATTAATTTGGCGCATGTCATCCTCGTGATAGTTAAACTCGCTTCCTCTAGTGCCTTGGTTGCGTACGTACCCTTCGCTAAATAGAAATCCCATACGAACTACATAATCTTTAATACCACCAGCTATTTCAGATCTACATCCACCTCGTGACTCTACCACAATTTATGATGATTAGGCAATTAATTAAACCTTCTTAATATCAAACTTATCAACCAGATGTCAGAAACTGCTGCACCCCAATGTGCACAACTGAATGATCTCTCAATACTTCCGCATCCTCTATCTGTACGACACGTTGTAATAATGGTTTAGCAACCCTGGCTCTCTCATAACTCCTCTATAGTATCACGAACCGTTGGCGCATAGTTGATACCGAGTGCACAAATTTCATACACGAGTGGATGCAAAAAGGACATAAGATATATGCTTCAAGTTGAATTAATACCGCACAAAGTGTTCCAAAGTGTAGAAGGGAATGGAACTATAATGTTTCGCTTATTTCCTGTCGATATTCAAGTAGTGAGACTAACTTTTAAGATAATTGATATATTCATGAACTTATAGGCAAAATCATGAATTCATTCGCTCTAGCATAATAATGGGGATTGCAAGCCTTGCGGATCTCTGAGCAAGTCTTAATCATCCAATTTCTTTGCTGAATTCTATTTTGTTGACAAATTTATTTTTCTATCATCTTCTAGCTTGTGTTATTTTTTAATTGCTATGCCTTTTAGCATCTTATGTTTCTCTGTCATTATAAATCTTCTAACAATCCTCTTTAGCGCCTTCAATTATGTGGTGCATTCTGTTTTGATGTGATATTAGATAAAAATAGTCTAGGGTGAAAGATGAGAACCATGTGGTTCAGAGTAAGAAAGGGATTAGAGTTAAAGGTTCAACAACAATAACTAACTAAAGATATTTCATTGTTTGATACTCTGATTACTTTCATACTCAGGCATGTGGCACTGCCCTTGGACTCTGCATTGTACGTACCCTTGTGAGTTCAACTCTTTCCTGTTTCAAATAAATAAGTTTCAGGAATTTGAGACTTCGAATTTGCAAGAAAAAATATTTCAATTTGGATTTGGCATGAAAAAGAGTTCAAGTTCTATCTTTACGATTTACTGTATTTCATGACATCTTAATCCATTTACAAGCCAATGGATGGCATAAACATCAACTCTCAAACCAAAATTCCACACTGTTCATCATTGCTAAGAAAGTTCCCCTTGGAATAGGCTTTAAGCATACAAGTGAAGAATATTGACTGTCTTGCCAGTTTTTAATGATGATATGCAGGTTAACAAAATTGGTGGGAGATCAAAGTTGTAAAGAAAAATAGACTAGGGACAGTGATGCAACTATACCTTCAACTTAATTGTCCTGCAGGGTCACTGGACACCACTCTCAGTTCAATTTTGAAGAATATAAACTGAAGGTAAGTAGAACTACGAAATGATATGTCTGTAGTGCCACACGTACGAAATGATGTTTTTATAGGAATACGTGGAGCATAACCAGATCATCTTAGGCTTACTTATTCATTTTATCATATACATGTACGTGAGTTAGTTGCATTCTCTTCCAACGCAATCATCTCTAATCCGATATAATCTGGTATTACCCTCATAGTATTCAAATTTCTAAGACACCTAGGCCCAGTATTTACACACATGTAACATTTTTGGTCTTCCAATTATTGTAATAAGTCGCACTTACGTTGCTTGCCCGCAAGGCTCCTCCATTTCAGTCATCCGGTTTTGAATTCTATGTATTACATCTTCATCTACCATACCGTTCTTCTAATGACTGAGTCTGGATATCTAAATTGCTTTCATTTAAAGGACACAATTTGGTGCACATCTACGAGTGAAGTTGGTAGTCCAAATCTCACTCTGGACTGTTTATTTGCAATTCTATTAAATCAATTCATTTACTTCATGATTTTAGTATTCCAATTAGACGAAGGTGATATATATTTTTATGTTATAGACTGAATTGCAAATTGCAGTCTTATATTGTCATTTAATCACGTTTTATACTTTTCACAAATTACAGAGTATTTCTTGCAGACAAGTGCTATTCTTTCGGCGTTAGTTGATATCGTTGATGAAGAAAGGATTAAAAAGACAATTGCAAAATGCTGGATGATTTACTGGAGATTCATATTCTCCAGTAAATCACATCTATTCTTTAATATCGGATAGACTCCATATGCCACTAGCAGCTTTTGTGGTTACAAGATTCTGAGCAGACTATAGCCTTCAATAGAGCAGATAATAATGAAGTAGTTCTTATCCAATTTAACCCCTGATATTTGAGGTACTTAAAAATTCTATTGATGGTAATTCAAGTAAGTTGGTCGAGTTATTTGATCGACTAATATAGAAGCATACTTTAAGTCCTTATGGATTAGTCGGAGTATTTATTTTGTCTCTCTTTAATTTTTTTTTATTGTCAGGTAGCTTATTAACAGAAAGTGGCAAGCCGATGGATATATTAGCAAAGCTAAATGAGTTAGTTGGTTTTTCGCCTCATTAAGAAATTAAACTTTTTGAGGTTAATGTTTTTTTCTTATTATTCTCTTGCTGCTAAGTTTTTAACTCAAACCCTTTTTTCACAAGTCACTTGGGATTGGTGGTTCTTGGCAACAATAATATAGAGACAACCCGATAAAATTCATCTATTTATTTTGTTGTCTAAATTTAATCCTCGATCTTTTTTTCTTTGAATCGATCCGCACATCGCGCGGGTAAGTATACTAGTTGCCTTTAATGACACTAACTCCCCAACCTCCAACTAACTTCACGTGTACAACCTGACAATTAACCACTAAATCCTACTGTTATTTATAGCTTTGCCCCTCTATACATATGTCATGTTACTCCTACTTTATCAATTTTACCTTTTATTGACCACATGGGTAACAATATATATATATATATATATATGTTATCATCGACCACATTTTTCAAATTTTTCGTCGAAGGTTTTTGCAAATTCTAGTAGTGAGCAAAATAGAAACAAACTAATTAAGAAACACACGTTGTCACCAGATTTATTTTAACTCATGCATAACGCTATAGAATTACATGGATCACACACTCAAATCTCAAAAGAAGTACATCAAAAAGCCAGTACATGGCATTTTATTCTAAGCATACTGTTAATTAAGAGCGAGCAATAATTAAAAGAGGACTAGAAGTGGTAGTAATTTTATTCAAACATATGGTCCTCTAGGAGCAATAATTAATAAATTAAAGATGGTCAATCAATGCAGCAGCTGTACATGATAAACTTCTCCATCGGACGGCTGCATTCAGCACAAACCACTCTCTCAGGAATATGACCGGTGGTTCCAGGCAATATGAGACGTGTACAATGGTGAGGAGTATGAAGAGCACGAAGTTGACGGTCCACTGAAGGAACAAATTCAGTGATATCTGTGACTTCATGTTTCCAACGTTCAAATCCTCTCATAACTTGCACCATCAGGTCACCTTTACCTCGAGTCATTTCAGCCAATCCCCGGCTAAAAACAGCCCATCCTTGGTCACTTCCATCATAGCTTAAAATGGTGACGATTTCTTGAAGAATTGGGTCTGTTTCTCCAGGGATGTCTTGTTGAGTCCTTGAGTGCCACATGCTTTCTAGCCTTTCCCAAAAGAACCAAATGAGAGTTTGGTCTTGCACCACATGGCTTAGGTTTTCAACTTGGATTATTGCGCTGTTCTTGCGAACTCTTTCCTTTGGATTTCTTTTACCCACGTAGAGCATCTCTAGAGGGATACGGGCTGCATTTGCAACAGCTCTTGTCACAGTTGTGAAATCTCTGATCCATTCAATGTCTTCTCCTCCATACAAGCATATGCATTTGCCTTCCCCAATCTGCATGGAAAAAAAAAGAGATAATTTAAATTTTAAAGATGATGATACCTCATGATCTATGTGTATGTGAGAGCAAGGGTGTACATAGGTAGGGTTGGTTCGGATTTTGCAATTACCAAACCAAACCAATTGTATCGGATTTTTAAATCTATAAACCAAACCAAACCAACAAAAGTCGGGTTTTTCAATATCGGTTTTTCTCGGATTTTTCGAGGTTTTCGGGCTTTTTTTCTGATAAACTTATGCTCCAAATATTTCTTTAGTCCTAAAAATATTTTACCAATAACAACCATGTTTTTATTTTTTAGCATTGACCTCAACTATGCTAGTCAATAGGTTGTATGGTTCCAATTTCCGTTCTAGAAAACTTATGGAAACTTTAATCAATCATCCATTCTCTTCCAAAGACAATCTTTTTAAAGGAACATATAGAGATGTCCTTCATAGAACATTTGCACATCCACAAGATCCGGTACACACGGCAATCAACAAACTCCTCAAATTTTCTTACTTTCTCATGTTTAATAGTGTCCATTGCAATCGCATCCGGAGACAGCGAAATAGTCACGATTTAGTGGAGAAGAGTCAAAATGGTTTCGATTGTTTTAGTGTTTTAGAACTAGTTTAGGACTAGTCTTATTCTACTTTAGGACTAGTTTTTGGTTTGGGCTCAATTATTCTTTTATGGGCCAGACAAAAAAAAACATTTACATAGGCTACATAACCAATTTAAAATATTATGCTAAATACAAAAATTATAAAAAAATTAAGAAATATTTATAACATACATTCTAATAAATATTTTTATCTACCTAATATATAAAATATGTATACATGTAATGTCGGGTTGGTTTGGTTTCAGTTTGATTTTTTTTTAGTTAATACCAAACCAAACTTATTATGGTCGGGTTTTATTTTTCAATACCAAACCAAGTCAAACCAAACCACTAGTCGGGTTTTTTTTCCGGGTTGACTCGTATTATCGGGTTGGTGTGGGTTATCGGTTTGGTTTGTACACCCCTATGTGAGAGAGTTTAGTTGGCTTAATTGATTGAAAAATACTTTTTAAGTGTTGAAAGTTTTATTGAAAAATGATGAAACTGATAATAAACAACTATTATGTTTAGTTTTGTCATTAAAATAATCACAATGCCCCTATATCTATATTCAAAAATATAAATTTTAAAATATCTAGACGAATGACATAAATGGAATAGACAGGGGTTAAGTTTGGTTAAGAGAAGGGGGTTAAAAAAATTTTAAGGATAAACTAGTAAAAATTTTGGTAATCAAATAAAAATTTCTTATAACCAAAATGTCATAAGTTGGGATTATAAACACTTTTTGCTTATCAAACGCGCGTCAATAAGTTTAGTTTGATAGTTTATAAGCTTACCCGAACATAATTTATAAAAAAATGGTAGTAGTACATAAATACAATGCTTAAGACAGTTTAACTTACCCAGGTAAATATGTTTTGATCAATGGAGTCAGCTAATAGTTCAATATTCCAAGTTTGTTCTCTCCATAGAGCTTCTTCCCTAGCTTTAGTAAAGGGAAATGCCAAACTTCCCCAAATCCACAACATATGGTATGCATTGTTGTTTGTTTCTTTACCTTGAGGATCAAGAACAACAAGCTGAGGCTTTTTATTGAATCCCCAGATCTCTTTGATATATCTGATGACTGCAGGATCAATCATAGAAGGATGAGCTACTGAGTACCAGGGCATAGAAGCTTGGACTTGTTCAAATTTCATTTGCTTTGCTTCAGTCCATGGTGTTAGTCTTTTGTCAACTACAGGAATCCAAACAACCTCATAGTTACTCTCAGGCCTACTTGGTTGTGCCTTTGATTCCGCGTACATATGATGGAGAATAAAGAGCTCTTCTGGTGCAATGTCGAGATCTGACAGCAAAAGTAAAACATGCTTCCTCCTAAGCACATCAAGACTTACCTGTCGTAAATAAGAGTGTATCTATTAAGTAATTATAACTAAATCTCTTGAAGATATTAATTGCTAATCTGGTAAAAAAAAGGTAAAAATCTTCAGTGTGTTGGTGTATATACTTAAATCGTAAAATAAGTACTAAAGTATATTTTTTTGTAATAGAAAAAGGAACAAAACTGATACTACAACTACACAATTAAAACTTGCAAACGTATCATTTGGTTAAGGACCAAAAGAAGAGGTAGAGATTGATACAAACCCTTCTCTTATGAGTTCCATCAAAAAGTGGGAGCTGGTCATCCTTGGAATAAATCAAGATTGACAGTATCTTCATGTTATCAATGTGGGGTGTCCTCAGAAGTCGCAAAAGTGCTTCAAATGCATCATGTTGCCTCTTCTCCTCTATATCACAAACAACAATATGTGCTTAGTGTTTAAAATATCCTAGTTTGTTTTTTAAACATCAATTTAATTAAAAAGAGTAAACATGCCACTGAACTAATGAGATCCAACTTACCAATCTTTTGGTAACATTGGTTTAGAACCTTTCTCAGGAGATCCAATATGTTGGCAAGCTTGTGAGCCAAACTAGATATCTCCCAAGTCTCGGATGTTGTGGACATATACCTAAAACACATATTGATCAAGAACCTTTATCATTCACAAAGTATATGGTAAATTGTCAAAATGGAGAAATAACACTTTATTATTAATATTTCTATCATTGTGTTGTCGATATTAGAGTTATTTTTTAGCTTGACTACCCAATTAAGAAAGGAGTTCACTCATATGCGCAAACAGTAGAAAAAGTTGTATATTTTAACCTAGTAACCTCTCTTATTTTCAAGGTTTTTAATCTAACTTTCAATGGATGGTTAGTTGTAGTTATCACATATGCGGCATGATAATGTAAAAAAAAATTTATGCCGTCAGCTCATAGAAGTTAAAGTGGTTTAGAAAACATACTCGTGGCCGGTGGCAATGAGATTCAAAATGATGGCTGTACACATGACAGCGGCCCTTATAGTCCAGTAGGCAGCAGTGGAAATATGGGCAGTATTGATCAGCATTTCCAATTCTTGGGTGATAGCATACTGATGATGAGATGTTCGAATGTCTCTAAACTCGATAATGCACTTTGTGACATCCAACATTTTGTTGATCAGATCAGAGATTGCATCAAATTTTGGCTTAAGAACATCGGTGCGCTCCATGATTTCTGGAAGTTCCTTAATGATTGCAACTGATTTGGCCAGTGGATTTGTTGGATATTGATGAACAAGTAGCCAAAATTCACCATATTGCTGAGCGAAGGCTGCAAATGTTATTGCTACTTTTGTATCCCAAGCGTAGGTTGTGAGCGAGTGAAGCAACGCCATTGTTGTTGAGTGCGGGTCTTCTTTGTTAGCACATTTGCATATCAACTGTACCATAATTACATTCACATCAACCATCAAATTCATCTCAAATATTTGACTCTAGCTAGGAGACTTCCAAGAAGGATTTTACTTGCATCCGCTGAATGTAAAACGAATTTAGAGTATCGGTGCATTACTACCCGTTGTAGCAGGTTATTATATGTCTTATTTTGCAAGTTACTAATTTTTCCTGTTTATAATTAGGTGATCTAATAGCTAACAAAGAAGTAATTTTACGCTAGGGAGGAGGGGAAGAGTATACAAGCTCCGTACCAAATGAATTAGGATCCATATATTTTAATCATTCTAGACATGAGATCCTCTTTTTCCTTTTCTAAATCAAATGGTTTGCATGATTTAGTTTCAGTGCAGCCAAACTATGGCAAAATTACATGTATCTATTAACACATTGACCAGGTCGCAAATAGAATATAGAAATGGTAATTGAACTTGTTCTCTTAATTACAAGTAGTCCAAGTTTAAAAATGTTTAAGTAGTATAGAATTATTAATATTGGGATTTAAATAGCAAAGCGAGTTATATTTAAATTTTAATGCACTTACCTCCATAGAAATTCTATGTATAGGATATGCCAAATAGTTGAGTATTTCAGAAAGTCCACTGTGGGGAACCTTCTCTTCCAATGCTTCCAGATGTGCTTGAGCTTGACCTCCCTATAATATCCAAAACAAAAACAAACAAAAGATCATGTAGAAAAACTTTTTATTGTTTTCAACTCGGTATTCGATATAGACATTAGGGCCCGACTAAATCCGAATTCGCATCCGGAAGTTCCATATTGGGAGGTAAAGCACTCCCTAACAAAGGCGACACCATGCCCATGACTCGAACCCGAAGCCTCTGGTTAAGGATGAAAGAGTATTTACCACTCCATCACAACCTTTATTGGTTCACGTAGAAAAACTGTGTTCTGATATAACAAGAAAAATGAGATGATACATACATGAAGATGGCCAGGAATAGCAGGAGCACGATGCACAATATCCTCAATGGTATGGAGAAGAGGTTTGACGTCAAAGTCACGGCCATCTGGGGAATGAGTATCCTCAATGTGCTTCATCATTGCGTTATCATCAGATGTTAAGAAAAGATGATGATCACCCCTTCTCGGGTGAATTCGATTTGGAGTCCGTGGATTGATATGAGTATTATGAGCGACAGCGGGTACCTGTTGAGACATAATATATAATTAAGTAATTAAAATTATGTTATTGCTAATAGCTTAAAATTTTAAATCAATTGGTCGCACAATTCAACATATATAATATGTATTTCCTCCGTTTCAATTTATGTGAACCTATTTTTTTTTAGTCCGTGCCAAAAAGAATGACCCATTTCCATATTTGGAAATAATTTACCTTTATGCAATGATTTATAGCCACACAAAAAATATATGCCTCATTTTACACCACAAGTTCAAAAGTCCTCTCCCTTTTCTTAAATTTCGTGTCCAGTTAAATAGGTTCACATAAATTGAAACGGAGGGAGTATTAGAGTAGGCAGGGGTTCTGAGTCCGGACCTCACTTCTATCCAAAATACCCAAAAATATATTGGCGCACGTGCACAAATGGCATTCTTTGAGGCCAGTATTTAAATTATATCGATTTTAGCCTAGTTGGCTAAATTTGTTTGCAACAAGAGAAACTCATTCAACTATATACTTTTAAAGGAGAAATTTAGGCCATTGGACTACCGGAGAAGTAATTTAAAGAGTGACTTCAGAAAGGGTTATACGGTGCATATCTATGTGTTTTTGGTTCATGAAAAAGAATCGGACCTACATATGAGAAACATGTTACGACATAATAGAATTAAATTATTAAAAAGGGTACTAAGCATTTAAATAAAATGGTGGCACAAATTCGATCGTACCATGTCATGACTCACTGGTTTGACCACAGGATGATTCATCACAGGATTGATCTGAGCATTCAGAGGGTTGATGTGATGGCCAGTACTTGGCACCATATGATCATGACTCATTGGATGAATCCTGTTGGCAGCAGCAGCTGAATCATTAGTCACTGGGTTCATGGCTCCCTTTTCAGTCAATTGGTTAACATGAGCCATTTGAAAGGAATTAAAAAATGGTAGGGTTTTAGAAAAGGCAAGTAGTTATAACAACTGCTAGCTGTGTGTTGAAATGAACCCATGAGAGGGGTTTATATAACATTTGGAAATAGTATAAAGGTGGTATGAATCAAGTTCCTTGCTTCTAATGGGGTCTAAAGTTGTGAAGAGGTTTGGAATTGGTCCTATGAATGGCTCCTATGAAGCAAACATCTTTGTCTCTTTCACAGTAGAAAGGATAAAACGTAATTTAGACAGCATTCTCATTATCGTTACCATTAAGATTTTGCTTCTCATTTCACGTGATCCATGCTATATCTATATATATGGTACAACAGTTCCCGTTTAGTTTTGTTAATTTGAGTCTTAATTAAAGTTCCAAAAAGTATAGAGTGTGATGCCTCTTCATCTGGTCACATGACTAATCCATTCAGTAGGATGGTAGGAAGAATGCTATCAATACCAAAAGAACAAGACAAATTTGACTTATTAATGAGAAGTATCAACCCTAAAGGGTAAACATACTCTTTATCAATAAAATTCAGTTAAACACTTATTGCTCAATTTATTTATTGCACACATATAATCATCCTAGCTTAGCAAGTTTTGCATAATGAAGGACATGGAGAGTCAGCATCCAAGAGTATTATCATAATTTAATTTATATACTCTAACTGTGTAAAGATTTTTATACCGTAATAGTAGGTTAGCTATCATTTTTGTTTATTAGGTTATTGACCAATGTTCACTATAGAGATTTACCTGTATCAATCTTATACGCGATCTAGTTATGTAAATATTTTTTGTTCGATTAAAGGAGAGAATTAAACTCTATCAGTTAGTGATAGACAACATACTATTATCAATGATGTTCACTTAAATATTGGGGAAGGGGATAAAGGGAAAAAAGCGTCTATAGCATAATAATGCTCAATTTTATTTGTACATGGTCATCCTTGCTTAGCAAAATTTGCATAATGAGGACATGAAGGGTAATAAGTATCTAGGTGGTATCAATCAAATTAGATGAAACTGGAGATGTTTTGGAATTGTCTAAGAGTTTAAATTATATATACAAAAGTTGTAAATAATTTTTGCATGTCATCTTTATTTATTTTAGCAGATAATTACCTTATTTTCAAGATAACAAATTTCAATATTGGTGAAAGGCTGTCTATAAATATCTTTTAGATAATCTAATAGTATTAAATTTTTTTTACATTGACGATAGATACAAGTTAAGACTCATTGCCTAATACATTTAAATTTGGGAATGAAGGATTTGTTATTTTATACTTCAAACGCCCTAAAAGTCCAGAAAAGTAAAAAACAAAAAAAAAAAAAAAAAAAGGCAAGAAGATACAATTCAGTAAAGCTCTTCATTCACTGCTGAAAGACTATTCACTTTAGTTGGTACCGAAACAATTACTACTAATAAGATATGGATTAGCTAGTATAAGTAGCTACAATAGTTATAAAAGCTTAATTTCTCAATTATTATAAGAGAAGTTCTCATAAGAAGTTGTTTTGTTTTTTAGAATAAAAGAGGGAAGATGATCTTGTCAAGTTGAAACAAAAACATGTCATATCGTAAAGTGCTCCTGTGTTTCGGTAGATACAGACCCATTAGAAAAAGCTAGCTAAGAATTAAGAATCTCTTTTTCCTTTTCACTTTTTTTTTTGTTACTTCAAAGGGGTGATTTTGTGGACCCTTTTGAAGCTTGCGAATATTGCAAAGTATTATTAATTATTCATCTGAAGAACAAGAAATTCTGTTTGGTAAACGAAACTGAATACTGTAGAAAAAAGGATAAAATGTTTGGTACAAGCTAAGGTAAATCTTTATCTTGAGAATGACAGCTCAAAGACCACAAATGGGGTGCTTTGCTTTATTGGCAGCAAACCTAGTTACAATCCGAATTTAACTATTCAGAATGTAAAAATATGCCATTTGCTTCATCCTTTAATTAATTTATTTATTTATTTTTTTTTGCTTTTTCAAGATTTTCATGCTGGTTTTCACTTTAAATTTCAGCGAGGGCAACGAGGTGAGAAAGGAAATGATTCATAATTAGATGTTCTACCATCCTTTTCTTTTCTTGGTTTACTACTTGGTGTTCGATATCCGTATCGAACCTGATTAAATTCGAATTCGTACCGAAAAGTCTCTCTGCCCAATGTCCTTAGACATCACCCCAAATTATAACCGTTTTTTTTCTTTCAAAATACTATCTAGAGTTAGACATTGATAAGATAATCTTAATGGACAAATTCAATTTTACAAACTTGAAAACAAACATAAACTTTAGGCAAAATGGTCTAATTGATCCCGAGAATCATATGTGAGACTTTCACCTGGTACAACTTAACAATAACAATAAGTACGCCTCAATCTTAAACAAGTTAAAGTCATCTAGAGGAGTAGGAAACAAGAGCATTCCCCAATAGGTATATTTTCTGATCCAACTTTGGCATAAAGTACAGAAACGTGTATCTACTGAAATTAAACCAGTAAAGAAGCTGCGGAAAATTTCAGTGAAGTGTGTCCGCAATGAAGAAGAAGGTTTTATGAATCCTAAATAGATAATATCTACCAACAATTAGTCATTAAATCATGCTACCATAGATAGCCATAAAAAGTTACCAACAATATACAATATTCAAAAAATCTAGGCAAACAATGACTATTTTCAATAGGTATTTTGGAGTTAGTTGAAAACATATAAATCAGGCAACATACAAAATTTGATTTTGAGAGAGATTGGAGGTAATTTGAACTAGTTTGGAGTCAAAATTTATTGAAACACATAGAAGAGGATTTAATAATTTGAGGAAGATTGGAGGTAATTTTGACTAGTTTTGAATCAAAATTTGTAGTTGAAGTCGAGCTTAAAATTCTCTGCAGACTGCAACATATATATCTTATAACATGTATCTCACATATACATATACATGGATATACTGGGGATATACAATCGATATACATTTGATACATATGGGCATACACGGGAGATACGCATATCATCTTCTTCCATGTTCATCTTGTGTACTTCGAATTTGGCTCAAATTTTAATTTAAACCACCTCAAATCTCCACCACGTTGTCCCAAAATTGAGAATCAAACTCTTTAAGATGTACCCAATCTATTGGAACAATACCCACTCGAAATAAATTTCAATTTCCAAAATCCAAGTTTTCAGATTCACGTTTAAAGGAGCTTCAATAACTTTTAATAAAAGAATTTGGTCTAACTTGTATAATAAAAATGGAAAAGCAACAACAACAATAACAATGACCCAGTAAAATCCTACTACTGGGGTCTGGGGAGTATAGTTTATACGCAAACCTTACCCCTATCCCGAGGGAGTAGAGAAGTTGTTTCCGAAAGACACTCGGCTTAAGAAAATGAAAAAAAAAGACAATATATCAGTACCATCAACAGAAACAAAAGGAATAATAACAGCATCATAAAAGTCAAAAAATAGATGAAAACAATAGCAATAACCAATATAAATGGAAAAGCAATTGAATCCATTTGGAAGATTAATTGTATTTAGCTATTTTGTGTTCGAGATATCTGCAAAATATGGTGAATCATACTCCCTCCGTTTCAATTTATGTGAACCTATTTACTTTTTAGTCCGTGCAAAAAAGAATGATCTATTTCCTTATTTGGAAACAATTTAGCTTTACGCAATGATTTATAGCCACACAAAATATATATGTCTCATTTTACACCACAAATTCAAAAGTCTTTTCTCTTTTCTTAAACTTCGTGCCCAGTCAAATGAGTTCACATAAATTGAAACGGAGAGAGTACGTACAAATAAAGAAAAAGTCTCTAACATGACTTACACCCTTACAGTTTATTCTTTTAGTATTATGTCACCAATTGCAATTGTTTGGCATGTAATCATTGTACCTAGTGTGTTTTTTTCTCGTTTCATGATATCATGTTCTCGTATAGAAAATTTTATTGCCAAGCGAATTTGGCAGGAGAAGCACGAAGTAGAAAGAAGGAAGATTAATCGGTCATTTTTTCATAAGAATAGAATTTAATGTTAAATCTGGCAGCATTTTATGAGTATTACCTAATTTTGATAGTATCTTATGAATTGACTAATATTTATAGCATTTTTCTCGAAAAGGCTAAATTGAGTTTGCCCAAAAAAAAACATGTAAGTATTAGTCGCATGGCTAAGGAATAGAAAGTACTTAAATTCATTAAGTTCTGGTTCTACTCCAAAAAAAATGAAGGCCACGATATGTAATATCATATTTTTCCTCAAAATGCGTGTTCTCTGCAGCACGAACAGGTCGAGATGCGATATTGACACATTGGGAGGGGCCATTTTCCCCATAACGAAGGCTAAAGTGAAGGTCAAATTATTGTTCATAATGGTAAGCGAGGGGGAATTGAGTAAAGGAAAGTGTTGTTTCGTACTATTATAGTCCCAAGGTGGTAATAGGAGTTACAAACTTCATAGCTTCCTCCACTCACCTCCACCGGTTCTTGGATTTAATTTAGATATAAAAAATCCCTCGTGTAATCATGATCAGTCCTAATAGTTTGTATTCGTCTCATGGCACTAACAAATGTACTTATGGTACTTTAATCTAAAAGTACTTATATATGTCATCCATTGTTCAATATTTGATAGTATTAATTAATTTAGACTATCTATGATCTGCGTCACACATAAGAACGACATTACAGCTCCTCTCACTCTTTTATACGATTTTTATATAGAAAATTTCAACCAATGGGAGAAAGGTTTTCCAACTAAAATGGAGTACTTGTTTATTTTGTTTCAGCATATTATTGAAACAATATCATCAGAAATACAAAACATGCATGTGTACTGCATTACATTTGTTTCTGAAATTTGATGTTAAAGGTGATAGTGCTGATCACTCATCAGAATGCCTAGTTACAATGAGTTGTGCAAATATAAGCAAACTCTTTTACCTCTCTATGAAAATCATATATTATTTCAAAGCTAATCAATCTTGGCCTACTATTCTACTGACTCTGTTACAATACACTGATAGACAACGAACTTTTCCACAGGACGGTTACAGCGGGAGCAAAATAAAAATTCTTCAGTCAATCCTTCTTCAGATTGAAGGATCTCATTGTGATAGCAGGGTTTAACAGGCAGAGGAGATCCCATGGCACATCGAATAGCACCAAATAACCCCAATTTCGCGACATTTTCTGCCCATTCTGGAAAAAGATTTAAGCATTCTTGGACTTCTCTCCCCTTGAGGATTATTATATCAGTTGATGATCCCTTTCCAATTATCATCCAATCAGAGGAGGTTTCACAAGCATCGAGTAACGGTTGTATGATGCTGTTATAGTGAGCTGCCTGTTCTTGTCTAGCAACTGAATTTTTTATGGTCTCCAGTCTAAGCCAGAACAACTTCATCTTCGTCGTAGATAGGAAAATACTCGAATTTTCTTCGACGCTGATGTCTAAAATATTCCCAACATCTTTATGTGGATTTCTATAGCCAACATAAATAGCTTCAAGCTGAATTCCCATGTTATTTTTGATTTTCTGTAATATGTTGTTAAAGTCTCTGATCCAACTAATCTTGTCACTTCCATAAAAGCAAAAATGTTTACCTTCATCTACCTGACATCAAAAGAATTGATCTTCTGTTGATTAAGAACTAAAACTACAAGACCTTAATTTGCTACTGTATTAAATTATTTGTTAAAGGGCAGAAAGCAACATATAAGAAGCTTACCAAATTGGTCAATAAAGGGTCAATCCCATCAATTAAAAGCTGCAAGATCCTGTTTTCCTGTTCCCACAGCTCTTTTTCTCTTGAGGCTGAAAAAGGAAATGCTTTGGCCCCCCATAGCCATACCATATCAATAGCATTTAAGTTTGTGACAACACCATCAGTGCTTAATACCACCATTAGGGGTTCCTCTTTATAGCTCCATTCTTTTCTAATAAAGTTTATAACAGCTGAATGTAGTAACCACGGGTGTCGGATTGAGAACCAGGGCAGTGAATTTGACAGAAACTTGAAATTCATCTCATCAGTCAAATTCCAGGCGTGTGAAGATGGAATTGGGACCCATAAAATTGCATAGCTTCCTCCAAATTTTTTTCGTAAGGGATGATCATGCATTTGTTGCACTAGATAAAATATTTTCTCCACAGCAAAGAGTTCTGGCTTTGAGATCAAGAGTATGACCACCTTGTTTTCCAGTTCTTGGATGCCAAAATACTGTTGAAGACAAACAAGTTTCTAGTTATTAATAAGTAATTAGAATTGACTCATCAAACTGCTAGCTGCCTCCTGGTTTCAAGTCTTACCATTCTGACGCATAAATCAAAATGTTCGTCTCTTTTCCAGCATTCAAGTGTTAACTCATAAGACTATTGATTTCCGTCTTACATATTAGTAACAAATTAAGTTTTGCGAAGAAGAGTACCTTTTCTCGTGAACCATCTTTCAATGGTAAGTCATTTGTCGATGAGAATAACACATGAAGCACCTCTTGATTGTGACAATGGGAGAGTTTAAAAAGATCGCCTATCTTTTCAGGAAACCTTCTATCTGAGAGCAACAAAAGAATTTCAATTTATTGTCGAATAAAATATTTTCTATAATAAAAGTTCATAGAAAGAAAATCACCTATTTGCATATGGCACATATGTAATTTCTCTCTGAGGTCATTGCATAAGCCACTTAGCTTGTATACCAAGCTGAATACAGTCCATGCTGCAATGGTTGTTGAATTTGAATGCCTGGAGTTAGAAATTTTTCGAGTCAATTTATTTACTGGTGAAGAGAAAGATACTTCCAAATTATGAGATATTATATACTACTGAAGAGGTAAATGAAGGGAAAAAACATGCACTTGGTTATCTTTCATGGTTCTGAAATCTGCAATCAGAGGAGCGCATGAGATTGAGCTTCTTAAAATCCAGTAGATTGTTATGTACATCTTTGACTTTGTAACAACGATTGCCTCATCATCCAAAAGTTGTTGTTGCAAAGGCAGGCCTTCAAACTCGAGGACAAGATTTGCTGCCTCTATCATAGTATTGAACAACAAGTTCAAAGCTTTAAATTGTATATTTAACATGTTTAATTCTCGAGGCATTTGCTTAAGTGCTGCAGTTAAAGCTGCCAGAGAGTTGTGATGGACTAGCAGCATTATGAGACAAAACTCGCCATATTTTGACACCAATGCTGCAAGTGTTAAAACTACTTTAGCATCCCATTTGAAAGGGCCTAAAGTTTCAAACAACATCATAGTTTCTGCATGTAAGTCTCCATCCTCATAGCATTTGCAGAGAATCTACGATAACCAAATTATTGTATTTAGATCCATGAACATAAACAATGATCGGCTTAAAGATCTATGATTGTGAAACAGAGGGAAAGCACTACTTACCTCATGTGAGATCTTATTAACGGTGTATCCAAGCTTTCCTTCTAATCCAAACACTTCGAAATTCCATGAATTTATACAATCGCTTCGAGGATAAGAGAACTGAAACAAAACTATTATGAGGTTGTCATGCTACAGTGTACTATGATCACCAAACAATTGATAAATCCATGTGTTTACCATGATACCTCTACGAATACATAAATACCGGAATAGGAACTCATAATTACAGCTAACTGCTTTTGCAATGTTGTTGGCACAGCAGAATAATATTATTTAATTAGCATATGGAACCAAGGAAATATACATGAACAAAGAAGATAGACAACACAAGATTGAATAACCTTAGGTGATATGAAATGCATGGTGCTCTCAATGACAAGAAGCAATTGACTAGAATCTAGCTCACGACCATCAGGATCAGGATCATGGGTTTGGAGAATCTTCTTAATCAATAGATCTTCTTCTATAGATGACAAGGAACATGGATCAAATTGTTCCAACAAACTCATGGGGCTGGAAGTGAAGAAAGTTAACAGATTGAGAGGTCGCATAGAACAGTTGACTTGCTCTATGGATCATAGGAACTAAAGACCACACTCGCACTCTTGTTATGCAACTTAAAACAGGCTAAGATTAGAGTAATCTCTCAAAGAATACGTGTGTCTATCAACAAGTTTGAGAGCCTATGCGCATATATGTTCATGTGTTGGGAGAGAAAAGTGCTCTCAAAGTTCAGGAAACACAATAATATAAAAATAAGTGGAGACCACCAAAAGAAGAGATGCTTATTCAAAGTCTTAGATTGAAAAAACATTATGTACTAGTAGTTTTCCTTTCAGCACTTTGTGTTGCGTGACCCTTAAGAGACCAAACCTATTCTTGAGGAAATCTCTTTCAGTAAACGATACTAAAAAGCACCCTACTAAGCCATATGTCAATTATGATTGCTTTCCTGATTTGCAAAAATGTATTGGGTGATGGGTACCTTGGTTTGCTCTCTTTGTGCTTCTTTATAAATTACAAACGATGGTCCTCCATATAAAGGAGGAGGCTAATTACAATATGTTAATAATGACAAATTATGAATGAAGAAGATTCATGTTGTCTACCTAATTAATTAGTTCAAGATTAAAACACACTGATTGTTGTTCTTTATGAACACTATAACCCTTGTTTACTATGCGCTGGTTTCAATTTTTGCCAGTTCTTTTAGAGTCGATACCAGGGGCGGAGCGGGAGGCGCAAGAGGGTTCATCCAAATTCCCTTCTCTAGATATTTAAACTGTATATAAAAAGTTAAAATTATTTTTTTATGTATATATAGTAGATGGTGAATCTCGTTGGATTCTTCATGTGTTTACTTTTTTATAATTAGAATCCCCTTAGTGAAGCTCCACCACTGTGAGGTTCTTCAAACCAACTTGACAATCAATTTCGGTTTTCCTCATTTTCTTTGAGTCTTGAATTTACAAGTAAAGTAGAATTATCTTTAGCACAATGTCGAGGCATCCATATCACCGGATGCAAAAACAGGAAAAGCTACGACATACTTTAATCAAAAGAGTAAAGAGAGCAGAATATTGGCTAAAGAGATTTGTGAACAAAAAGATATCAGACCAAAAGAGCATAACATAATCATTAGTTACAGTATGTTTTTCACATTAAGAGTACAAAAAAAATGTCGTACAAAAATAATCATGATATGTGATATTATACCAGATGCTTCTGAAGTCCAAACTGAACTTGAAATTGACTCTGGAGACTGTAACGAGAAAAGGATAGGTGAATATGTTAGGAAGCTCGTAGCATTTCCACCATTATCACCCAAAACATCTCCTCCATATTATGCTTAGCTTGTGTGGAGTAATTACCTCATCCCTTAACTTGACCTTTCACAATTGAAGAAAATTTAAAGGTTTTAGCTAGAAGGCATGTTGATTTACCGTCAAACTTCATTGGCAAGGATACACTTCTTCTTGTATGTTACACTAAACAAAATATATTGATATTATCCTTATTTTTCAAACAACAACTAAAATTCTGTTTTTGACAACGAAATTGTTTCGTTTTAACACAATTACAAGAGGCCAAAGTCATGTGCTGACCCGATTCAAAATCCCACCTTAGACCGTGTTGGCGCCTAGTTGTACACTTGTACTTGCTAAGCAAGCCAACTCACATTCAACAAATAATATAGTTAGATTCCTTTAATTAGCAGAGTCATATCATAAATAAAAACAAGAATAATCTCAAAACAGTAAAATGTCTGATACAGTCATAACATGGCCCGAACACGACCAAAACAGTATAACCCCCAAAAACTAGGTGGCACAAGTATGCAAGCAACTACTGAATAAGTACAAGTCTGAATACATGATCAAACCTGTCTGAAATTATAAAATAGAGAGAAAATGGTAAAAGGACAAGAACTCGGGTGCTGCGAAATGAATCCATGGAGTGCAGCTCACCCTAAGTCTCAGAGCGAATACCTAGGCTCAACAAGAAGCTCTGCTAGTACCCACCTAAGGATCTGCACAAAAAGATGTGCAGAAGCATAGTATGAGTACACCACAGTCGATACCCAGTAAGTATCAAGTCTAACCTCGAAAAAGTAGTGGCGAGGCTATAGGCATCAAGATACTTACAATACAAATATAGATAACAGAGCTTGGAACTGAATAGAAAATAATCTCATGAATAATAAGTATCAAAGATATCAACAGTCGAAAGGTATAAAGCATGCTTTTTCAATTCAAGAGATAATCATAACGCTGCTCAGATATAGTATTTAAAGATGGCATGCTTCAATCAGCAGAGTCGAGGCTCCCAACTAGCATATATAGATGACATGCAACAATTAGCATCTAAATGAGTCAAGGATATTTATGTATGCTCAAAACTCTATCTCTTACCATAACCAGTACACGATCCATGTACCACAAATAATTCGTGTATCACTGAACCTAATACACAATTCATGCATCACCATAATCCGATACAAAATTCATGTATCGACCCGATATACAATCCATGTATCCACCACGCTCGTAAGGCCCAAAGTAATATGGGTTATCATCTGACTCTAGAGGGACGGGTCCTTATTCAAGCGCGAAAAGGAGCTTGATAGCTCACTTATAATTAAATATCTGTTAATCATGTTCTGTGTTCCATAACTGTATTTCATTCGCAGACCTTACCTTTCGTGCCAAAAATCTCAGTTCAAATCAAGTATCCATATTTAAAATGTATGCATATGCCAAAGAATTAAAAGATAAAAGATGCATAAGGACCTAATAATAATCATGCAGATATGTGCCCACAGAATTTCTATATGACTACGGATGATTCAAGCAAACATATCAAGAATAAGCTCCCATTCCTTCATAAATAATCATAAACCTAGGCATGATCTCTAAAATAGTGAAGAAAACGAACGTAATCATATAAGCCAAATAAATCATGAATCAAGATGAACACATATTCAAAATAAGTATTAAGTATCTCAATTCTACTCTGGTTATGATGTAAACTTGGTAAGTGTATATACACGCGCCACACCGTATATACATCATCCATAATACATTAAACACATAGCAATCAAGTCAAATCCTAGGGGTTTCCCTCTTAACAAGGTTAGCCAAGAGACTTACCTCCATCCGGTAGCTAGAAATTAACTAAAAATGCCAAATCGCCAAAAATCCAACTCCAAATGGCTCAAATCTAGTCAAATACAACCCAATAATGTCAAATAAAGCTATAGGAATTAATTTCAGACAATAAAATTTTAATATTTATTCAATTTTCAAAATATTAATAAAATTTAACCCGGGCCCACATGATCAAAACCTGAGTCAAATTGTAAATCTCGACTATCTATAACCCCACAAGTACAATATGTATTTAGATTCCAAATTCAAGTTCAAATCATAGCTCAAAACCCCAATTTTTACTCTCTTAAATTATAGGAATACCCCTCAAATTTACCTCAAAATTCCGTGTGTTTGGATATTAACAATCCATGCAGATTCTTAAAATAATACAAAAGATGAGTAGAAATCACTTACTCCAAAGTCATGTATTTTATCTCCACGTGAAATCGTCCCTCTCCAAGTTTAGGGTTCAAAATATGAAAGAATGGGCTAATATCCCGAAATTCAACACTTAAAAGTACTGCCTAGGGGTACTCTTCACAAATGTGGCACATGCCTTAGGTTCGCGAAGAACAACAACTTCTGCCTAGAAAATAACCCTTCATGTTCGTGGAACATCTCTCGCGAATGCGAATACATGACTGCCTCTGCTACGCGATGGTGACATGTAACGACCTGACCAGTCATTTTGAGTTCTAGCATTTCGTTCTGCGATTTGATATTTTGAGTGTGTCATGGCCCCAAATCTCACCTCTAGGATTGTGATGGCACATAGTCTCTAAAACTAGGTAAGCCTAACACATGATGAGATTTAACAGAAATAAACAACATAGCTATTAAAATAAACTGATAAGTGACATAATAAAGCTGAAACTACTCAATAGTCATACATTTCACAAAACTGGTAGTACAAAATCATAAGCTCTAATAAGAGTAAACTAGAAATCTTAATACAACATTGTTTCGGAATGAAATTAAAAGTATCAATGAAAGACAACAGTAGGTGACTCCGAGGCCTGCGAGCGGGATGACAGGTATACCTTGAATGTCACGACCCAAAATCCACTAAAGGTCGCTATGGCACCTAACACCGCCGTCAGGCAAGACATCGGTGAATGATCAATTTAATTACTCATTTTAATATTCTGAAATCAAAATTTTCCTTAATTAAATAGTATGAAATAGAATTTACAGGGGTAATTGATAATATTTACACGAACTACAATAACGAACAACCCGTAGGAACCCCCAAAATCCGATGTCATAAGTACATGAGCATTTTCTAAGGAGTACAATAATAATACAACATCTGTTCAGAATGTAAAATAAGGCAGGATAAAATAACTAGTACGATGGAGACTCGGTGGACTACGATGCGTAGCCTAAGTTGCAGCTCACATAAAGTCTCCTTAACTGATGCGCCCACGCGCCAAGATGATCACCAAATGAACCTGTCAGATCCTGCACATTTAGTGCAGAAGTATAGCATGAGTACGTAAATCAACGTGTACCCAGTAACTATCTAGCCTAACCCCAGAGAAGTAGTGATGAGGGGTCGACATCGATACTTACTAGAGGTCCAATAAAATAATATGATAATTCATAACAGATATGAAGTGCACAACAATAGTGGAGTAAATCCGTAAATTTCATAATTTTTTAATTATTTCTTTTAAAGTATAAATTTTTCGATCTTGTATTCTACCTTAATAGTTCAGAAAATGCCAAGTGTCAATATCAAATAAATAAGGAATACCATAAAATGCCGGGCATCAGTGGAAGGTTTATCTCCTGAATATTCAGACTACTAGCGATATAACGCATGATTCTGCCGAGGTCGTTCGGCCCGATCCAGAATAATATGTACATTACCGAGGGTCGAGCGGCACGAACCATAGATGCATCTATTATACTGCCGAGGCATTTGGCCCGCTCCACAAGAAAGGAAAGAAGTTACCAAATTACGAGACACGTGTTTACAATACCGTACATTAGCACAAAAGGAATATAGTCTTACCGTTTCTCAAATAACTCACCCACAACTCAAA